CCCTTTTTCCCAAATCGAAAAACATTCCCGACGCGGCTCTGAAATCAGAGGTGCCAAGGAGGGTCCGCTTTCCTCCTCTGGTTTTGAGGGTTTTGAGTAACACAACTTCAGCGAAACAGTCCAGCGAGTCCAGCCCCAGCCATCCAGCACCTGACGCACTCTGCACATCGAAAAATGTCACTTCAGACCGGATGCGATAAACAAACACGGGCTTGAATTTAGCACTGAAGTCTGCAGAAGGCTGCTCTACTTCTTTTTGTCTTGTGAGTGAGGCAGACGAATAGTGACTCGAATTGCCCAACCTCCAGGCACCAGGCTTTTAGTGTGCGGACCGCAACCCTTTGTGTGTGTGTGTGGGGGGGGGGGAGGGGGGGTCCTCTGATTTAGAGTCTACTAAAAGGGGAAACCTGTGCCCGACACCCGCTCTCGATCCGCCCCTGCTGTGTGTCCACTTTAATGAAGACGCCCGCATGCTGTCATTGGCTCTTTTTAAGCGAGTTCTAGCAGTTTTTATCTTTACAATGGCAACACAAACGAAGCCACAGACTTGGTTTGGGATCTAAGTTGGGCGGTGCGATACAAAATTACTCCAAACTTTCAGAGGACGCCCGAGACGTATTTTTAAAAACGTATCGTCCGTCGCCACACACAATCTCGGCGATGATCCACCGCTTTTGCAGATACGGCAAGAGGTCGAAGGCCGCCCTTCCTGCTTATTTGCTTTGTCTCTTTCCCCTCTCCCCTCTCGCCCTCCTCCTCCTCTCCTTGTCTCCGGTGCCTCCCCGTTTGTCTCCACCACCGGTCAGTCTCTCCAAGACACGCGGCCCGCAGCCCAGTCCAGCACCCCTGCCGATCCGAAGAGCTAGAGACACCCCTGGGGTAGAAAAAGGAACAAGGACAGGTGTTTGGCGCGGTTGTTACCCTCGTTGAAGCAGTTGAAGTTGAGGTGTCGCTGAGCAGCAGCCCATCGGAAAAGGTCAGTGGTCAGTGTTCTCACCTCGCCGGCGCACATATTGCGACATATTCGGCAAGAGTCACGGAAACGTGGGATGACAGCAGAGCGCTTAAAATCAAAACAGCAACTAAGACCTGATCATGCCGAAGCTCGGCCTCGTCGGCGTAGCATTCTGGATGACTGCGCTGTTCAGCAACCCCGTGGCTGGCGGGGGCGGCCCTCGCAAAGACGCCCACCCCCTCCCCGCCCCCAACAGCGTGCGTTCATGTCCCTCCCCTCCGTCACGTACGTGTTTTTCGGTGTTTGCTGCTCTAGGCGCCGGCGGTGGGCCGGGCCGGGGACGCCATGGACCACAACGAGCAATCCGCGCTGCTCCCGAGCCGACACGAGCCGACCGCGGGGAGCTCCGTCGGCTACTCGAGCATCGTCAGGGTGGAGCCCGCCCCGGCACCTGCGTCCAGCATCGGAGACGGCGACGGCGGGTATGTGGTCCGAGCTTTTGAGAACAAGTGCTGTCGTGTCAGTGCTCTCCGACCCCTACGCGTAGCCAGCCGCTACATGGCGGCCTTATTTCATACATTTATTCGTGTCAAATAATGTCGGCTGCTTCTGCAGGTTCCGAGCGCGCGAGTACGCGCGGCTGCGGAGGGTGGTGCTGTTCGTGACGGGCCTCACCACCGTGCTGATCGGCGCCGGGCTGCTGGTCGGCCTCCTGGTGCCCGCCACCGTCCGCGCCGAGCCCGACTCAACGCCGGCGCTGGTCATCCTGCCCGTCCCGTGAGATGGGCCGCGCCCGCCGCCGCCCCGACCGCCCCCGAACAGCGCCGGCGTGTGGCGGGGTAGGCAGCCGAGCCGGCGTCGGCCGCAGGTTGGGCTGCCTACCCGCGCCGAGCATGGGGCGCCTGACCGCCTGGACAACGGGTGTCCGAATCCGAACTCCCTTCACTAGTAGCAGCTGCTACACTGCAGTGTCGCAGCCCGCAGAAGATGGCAGGCGACTGAAGACATGTATATGTATATATTTGCTGCAAGGCTGTTGCTTTGCATACAAAAATGACTGTTGGATAAGGAAGTTAATTTAATTAAATTTTAACACTTATAAAATGTTCGAGATATTGCTCCATATCCCTCCATGCATCCCTACATCCTACATCCATATGGTCAAGATCGTCGACGTCGAGTCCACTCCGATTTTTGGCGGAACGGGACACCGTAGTTTCGTTTATCCTGGCGATTATAAAATGCAAATTTGTTGCGAGCTTCTTTTAATACCGGTTTGAACTGTCTTCATAGAGAAGCGTGAACAGGCTGCACCTGGCACCTGCCGTCTGATGTTGTCGGTTGTAGCTTTACAAGAGCAGTGTAGTACTCGACTATTCGCGCTAGGCGAGGCACTATGCAAGGGCAGCTGCCATCAGCAGGAAGAACTCGCACGAACGTAGAATACGGCCACGAAACCACCACCTGCCCTGCCGGGCCTGTGATCTGATATCACAATAATATCCTGTATATTTAACGCCTCTTGTTTATTCTTATGCAGCTGTCTATTTAAAATGATCAAACGTGAGTCGAGACCGGTCGAGACAGTCTGGTGTCGGGCTCATGCGGAGCAATGGCACACTAATTGGTGCAACGAACGCAATTGGCAATGTTCTTCTTTGTAGTCTTCTCCTGTACCAAGCTTACTTATTGCTCTCCCCCGCTCTCCCCGGGCGTTAGGACGACTGCGGACATGACCTGGGTCCCGAGGGTCAGGAGTGAGGCGGCGCGCGGCCGCGCGGACGGCGTTAGGACGACTGCGGACATGACCTGGGTCCCGAGGGTCAGGAGTGACAACTGCGGACATCGCGGGTGGGAGGGCGTCTTCCTCGAACGCGGCCGGCCGACCGGCTGTGTGACAACTGCGGACGTCCATGACCGACGGGTTGCCTACCCCCGCTCCGGCAGGGGCTCCTCCGCCTGGGCGGCAGACGCAGAGCAAGGGTGAAAGTTGGGCAAGTTGGGACGGCGAGGGGCGAGGCCCGGGGCCCGCGGAGAGCGAGGTGGGGCCGCTGCACAAACCGCGGGCCGGAGCCCGGAGCGGTGGGGCGCAGCGCATGGGTTTCTTATAATTGTTGGATGGTTTTCATGGCAACGGGGAGGTACAAACTGGCCCGTTCCACGTACGATTCAAATCGCTTGCAGTCAACGTCTCTGATTCAGCTCGCATCAGACATTCATCGGATCAATTGCAGTGATAAGCGAAGCGGCCGTACTGTCGAATAGTTGGGGGGGGGGGGATGTCTTTCCCCGTAGATGCGGATGATTGTTCATAGACATCCAACATACACACACACGCCGTTCTCTCTCTGGCCCACAACAGTCACAAATTATCTCAAACAGTTTCAGAAAACCATACGAGAAATATGGATATAGCTACCTCGCTTGGAGAGAAACAATTTGGGGTCCATTGGTCGTCATGTAGGGCCGGAGGTGGGACTTGAGGCGGGGGCTGCGTGATGTCTGTCGGCGGCGGCGCGGGAAACGACGTACTGCAGGCCGGCCAGGGTAGCGGGTGCAGCGGCTGCAGGGGTTCCAGCGGGTACCGCACAGGCGCAGCCCAGGCCGCGCACGCTGCGGACGAGAACGCCATATAGACGCGCGGGCCGCGGCGGTCCCTACACCACTGTTGTTGCCTGCCGCGGCGGGGCGGAGCCAGAGGGCCCAGAGGGCCGCCAGAGCAGCCAGAGCGGACCTATAACGGAGCCCGCCCGTGGCCACCACCTCGCCCATGTAACGCCAACGTCGGCATCCGACAGTGTCGAGACCAGTCCAGTGTGGTGCAAGTTGCGTTCGTGGCCGCGCCGCGCGGCGGCTTCTCCCCGACTTCCCTCCTCCTCCAACCTAACCTACACATTGCGATACCCGGCTGCCGTGGAGTATCGCCGCCGCGGGGGGTAGCGCGCGCCGCGGCCCCCGAGGTACGATGGGCTGCCTACAGCGCCGGCGCCCGGGTGGCGCGAGGTGGGCTGCATACGCTGCCGGGCGCTCGCTGGTGCACCACACCGGACCGGCGGCAGTGTCGTCGGGCGCGGGCCTGTCTATTTGCTCGTCTTAGCACTTGGACTCATAGTAAAGCGACTGTCTGTCGGCGTCGTTCTCATCGGCGTTAATGACTAAGGCAAGTCAAAGCGACGACACCCTCCCTAAAACGACAGCCAGACGTGGCTGCTCAGTACGGTAGTTTGTGCCCCGGCGCCGAGCCGTGCGCGCGGGCGGGGCGGCCGGGCGGGGCTCAAGGCGGGGCGGGGCGGCTGCATCTCGCCCCTCCGGCCCCCTCTCTCTTTCTCTGCCCCTGTCTCTGTCCCCCTTCTCTTCTGCCCGGCCGGCGCGCGCGGTGTGGCGGACCGGGCCGGCTCAACCTCCGCTCGAGTCCACTCCGGTCCTCAGTCCCCAAGGAGACCTCGCTCCGGCCGCACTCTGTCCGCGCATCGGGAGGCAGAAGCTTCGACAGCTTGGCCCCCCCGTCCGATCCGGCTTTGCTCAGTTTACATAACCCGTGTGCGACCGACAAAGCAGCGACGTGCGCAAGCGCGAAACTACCGATTTGTGCGATTTTTACTCGATTTTTCGCGTTTCGCCGGCGCGCGTGAGAAGTGCTTTGTTTTGGTGCCGCGAGGGCCCTATCCGAGTGTGAAGTGAAAGCCAGGAGCCCGGCAGAGCAACGGTGTTGATCGTGCCCGGGTCACACCTCCCTTGATCGCTCCTATGCCAGCAAGGACGCCCAACCCGTGCCCCAGTGAATGCCACCCCCGCGCACCACGACCCTCCTCCCCGTCAGCTGCTAGCGCCCCCGGCGGCGCCCCCCGCAGCGCCCCCCGCCACCAGTAGCAGCAGCGCCAGGATGGAGGCGCCCGTGGCCACCCTGGTGGTGGCCGGCGTGCTGCTGCTGGCCTCCGCCGTGCAGATCACTGCCTCCGCCACGACCAGCTCCGCCACCGTCACGACCACCACGCCGACCACGGCCGCCCGGCCCTCCGCAACAGGTGAGGGGGCCGACTACTGCCGACTCGGGCTGGGCCAGACAAGTTCACTGCCAAGGGGAGGACCGTGGAGCCTGACCAGCCTGCTGGAGCGGGCGGCGGAGCGGGTCGGGCTCAGACAAAATCCCGTCGCGCGAGATGGCGGACTGCGCCTCGTCGCGTCTTGTCCTCACACCGAGATACTCCGCCCCTTATCGTGTGTAGCGCGACCCCTTGCCTGAACTCTCCTCTTCTCCTCTCCTCTCCCCTCCCCCCTATTCTTGCCTTCGGCCTTCTCGTCGTCACAAAGAATTTGGTCATCTTCTAAATACATCTCGTGCATGAAGCGACACCGCAACAAATACCGAGGCAGTGTATTGTTTTGAAATTTTCGCTTGACCCGAAACCGAAGCTGCAAATACACAAACGCTGAAGGTGAACGCGTCTGAGCGTCGGTGCTTGCAAGCGCTATCATGACGACACGTTGAACGTCGTCAGCGTTTGGTGCCTTATTTTTACACAGCTTAACTTTGACGGATGATCTGGATGAGGGGTCGCTTTGGTTATCGGCGTGGGAAAGGTCTGTTCCTCGTCTTCCTCCCCCGAGAGCGCCCGCTCGCGCGTGTGTACGTATACGTACGCGCGAGGGAGAGCGAGTGTGCTCGTGCAGCGGTCACGGACGGCCACAGACGCCCGATATATTCTATTTTGTCGGGAGCAACGTTGCCGTCTGCAAAAAAAAAGAAGGGAAAAAAAGGGGAAAGAAAAATCCCGCAAGCGAGATTGCATAGGGACCACATGCGGCTGCGGCTGGGTGGCGGGCGGTGCCGCTGCAGCCCCACGGGCTGATAGAGCCTGATAAAGTCCTGCCGCGCGCTGCAGTACGGGCGCCGCCGCCGGCCGCGAGGCAGCAGCCGATGCCGATTATTGGATTATTAATTATTCCTTTTTCCATAATATTTTCCCGCGCGTTTGCGGTCGCGCGCTCGCTTTGCATATAACTGCTCGGCCGCATCCTGTTTCCCCCGCATCGCGCCACTCCTCGGCACACTTTGCACTTCTGGTCCACTCTGGCCTGAGACTCGGTGCTCGCTCGCAAGCCCACGACGGCGACCTGGCGGTGCGTGCACCCCGGCACGCGCTCCAGGGGTTCCCCGGCAGCCAGGACGTCACCTGTATACCCTAGAGGACGAGGCGCACGGCCGAGGCACGAATCCCGCAGTGTCGACGCGCGAACCGCCTGCGGGTAGGCAACGCGCCACTTCGGTGCGCTTCGGTGCAGTGCGGGCTGGCCTACCTGGCGGCTCGCAGGCGCTTTTACTTTTGTTCGCGGGACGCTCGTGCAGGCTACACACATCACCCGCTTAGTCTGGCGGGATGTGACTGTACGCAGGGTGACGCTGCGGTGACCTGCGCGACGGCCTCCGGGGAGGACTCTCAGCTCGCCGCTGGGCAGCCGCCCGACGCCCGACCCCACGCTTTCCTTCCGCGTAAGAGCGCGCCCATTCCCCGCCATGCCGCACTAGCTCGCACTAGTGGACCGCGACTCACTGCGCCGACCGGCGCGCCGCTCAGCGTGGGAGAAACTCCTCTCAGACTGCGTGCGCCGGAGTCTCCGGCCTGCGGTTCCGGATAGCATCCGGCACTGCGGCGCGGCTGTCGAGAGCTCCCCCGCGCAGGCCACCGCGTCCTGCTCCTCCTTGGAGATGGAGGGGCCGCGCTCCGGCGAGCACCTGCCCGGCGTCCAGCAGCTGCCGTGCTGGCGTCTGCAGATGGGCAGGTGGTCATCGGCGGGGCCCGGGCCGCGGCGTGCAAGCTGCGCGGCTCCGCAGAGGCGGCCGGCCCCCTTCCCCGTCGCCCACTCAGCCCCAGCTGCGCAGGCTGCTCGGCTCGGGCTGCTCGGCCTGCGCCAGGACAGGACACCTGCAGGCGCTCCTCCAGCGCGGCAGCGCGGCGCGGACCCGGCTCCAGGAGCGCTGCAAGGAGCGGGCGATGTCCGTTGCTTGCAATGCGACCGTGGAAGTTTCCAGCAGCGCGGGTCAGGGCGGGGTGGAGGGACGAAGGGTGGGG